GTGTGTGTGTGTAGAATCGCGCTGATATAGAGGCTAGAGAGAGAGATGGAGAAAAAAAAGCAGCAAAATCCGCTCGTGGCTCTCTAGGAGTGATTTCTATCTCCGAGTGAGATTTCAGATGGTTTACATTTTTCCGACGAAACGACCGATCGATCGATCGATCGATCGAATCGAATCGGGGGAATGCACATTGCGCTGCCTATAGTAAGCCACAAAGTAAGAGCCCGAGCGAGCGAGTGGATAAATACATTTGCAGCCAAGAGCTCAACGACGTACAAATTACTCGAACTTGACAGTCGACATATTCTCCCTTTTATCGACTGCCTATATATATCCTCGCATTTTACCTTTGACTAATGTAAGGAGTACGCATGCCGTGTGTGTATGTACATTTCTCACGTAGCGATACGTAGCTGCAGCGGATATATTTTTATTTATGATTGATTGTTCGGATGCAATCGCTCGAGCGTCGAACAATGGAACAGCGAGCAGCACACCGATACATATGGGTAATAAGATATATATTGCGAATCAATTTCGAATTCGCACCGCGCAAAAGCTCGCTCGGGGTCTATAGGAGAGCTTTTGGGGGGGATTTCCCACTCTTGGGTCATCGAACATAATACGTTACGAAACTCGAATCGCTCGTGTGCAATGCGCACAAGAAGGCAATTAGAGCCGTTACAGTGACCAATGCGGGGATTGCCACGCGGAAACCGTCAAGTTGTACCGTGTACTAATTTTCGAGAGATCCCCATTGTGTGTGCGTGTACGCGAGAGATGTAAGTCGCGCGATTGCGCCATGCGACGCTATTTTTTGCGGCTTTTATAACTCCGAAGGATCCCGGGGGCCTGCCCTCTCGGCATTCTAGGACTTATAAATGTATACTTGCACGATGTTGTTGTACCATTGCTCTATCTTCGAGCTGTGTGCCGCAGCGAGATGTGCGATCGAGTATACGAGATATATAGCGGCAGCGGGACTCGCCGCGCGTCGAACAAATCGATCGAAAAACAACAAACAAGTTTATTATCGGTAGCGCCGATTGATTTTCGCGTGATATATCGTGTGAGCGCGCGTGCGAAGGAGATAAATACAATGTACACGTAATATTACGATCTCGAGGGTGCGTGTGCGAGTGTCTCGATAAATAAAAAAGAAATAAAAAATATCGATGACGATAGTTCGATTCACAACGGACCAATCAAGCAGTGAAAAATTAATACGAAAGTGTTCGTATTTATACCAATCGGAAAACTTTTTACCGTTTGCGAGTTTACAATGCTCCATCTGTTAATGAAATTAAACAGCTCGCCATCAAATATGTCCCTTTTTACTACGATAAATCTTGTTATACAACACAGAGGAATTCCCAAAATATAAATCCTTACATATTTTTACAAAAAAAAAATAAAAATAATAATTTTTAAAATAAATGCTCAAACCTGAGGGGGGATAAACTAAAAGACTTGCAACAATTAAATATACTACTAAATCACTAATGGGTGTTTTTTGATTGCTCAGATGGTAGTACTCATATGATTATTTTCAGTTTACAACTAGCAGATTTATGCATAAAGGTAATCGCCATCTAGCGGTAGAGAGGCTAGATCTTAAAAAACGATCAATAAAATGTGTTGAAAGTGTTTTTTATTTGTACCAATTTAAAAATTGATTTGTCACTTGCGTCAAAAGCACTGCCAATTTGTTGGCAAAGAGTTTCCTCATAAAAATTTATATTAATGAAAGGGTTTGGTTATTAAAAGGAAAATTCGTATTTCATTTTTGAATTTGGAATTTCACGAAAGTCCAAAAAACTGTCTATTTCAGCCAACAGGTCGAGGAGACAAACATACATACAGGCATTGGTTAGTAATTCAACGTATTTTCCAAGTATGTAACCCAAATTTCCCTACGACGTCTGGTTCCAAATCTCATTTTCAAGCTTATCACATAACTTCCTCTATGAGGAAGCAATACAATACAAAAGGATTATTGGAATATTAACCCTTGCATAATTCTACAAAAGTATAAATAATTTCCAATTTCAAATCAAGGCTCAGACCAGTCTACGTTTCTAACGCTCTATCAAACGTCTTACACAAACAATTTCAGGTAAAGGACAAAAAAATGCACGTTCCCGAGACACTCGAGCTCTTGAGCTGTGCGCGGCGTTACGCACTGCAGATATATAGCTATGCACTCGTCTGCGATGTATACAATCGAAACGATGTCAATGTCTTTTCTTCGGAATAATAAGCCAGACGTATAAGTATATCATATCGATCGATCGTCGTAATCGTCACGGCTTGTCGCGTCGCCCGCGCGTGCGCCTAGTTAACTCTGCACTCGAGTCGCTGCGGTGCATATAATGTATGAAATACACACACTCGAATCAAAGACAGTGGATGGCGCTTCGAAATAGAATAAAAAAACAACGAAAAAAAAGGGCAGTGTAAACGGAGCCTCTCCGAGGAATCGTATCCGATCGTTGCGCACATGCCGCGGCTATAATAGACTGTATATATAGGGACGATCTAGTTTCGCTCGTACGAGAGTGAAATCGAAAGTGTGTTGTCTATCGCCGATCCCGCATTATTATTATACTTATCTTTACGTAGTAGCGCGTAGTAAAGTAGCCGCGCGGCGTCGGCTATCGATCCCCCTCGCGCGAATTTCGCACTCGCTGTATAACATAACACACACATATCGGCTCGCGGGGGCTCTCTAGTGGGTGTAAAATTCACGCCAAACATGTCGAAAGGTACTATACTCCATGTATAGTAAGTATTGTGTGTCGTAAAAAAAAAGCTGACCGTGGCTCGCTCGCACATACATACAATATTATTGTGTACTTGTGCCTATCGCAATCGATGCACACACACACATGAGAACGATAGAAAGCCTCGATATTGCCAATTCGCACGAGGCTCGACGTACACACACTCCATAATGTGTGTAATCTGTATAAAGCACGCAGGCAGAGCTCTAGATTACGATAGGCGCGAGCTGTTAATTCTTTTTTCGGGCGTGTATGCAACTGCGTATATGTAGCAGCGATTTCGCCTACGTACGTAGGTATATCACGAGAGAGTCCTAAATTTGCACGGCAGCAACTTGGGACCGATCCTTAATCTTATACATTATCGCGCGGTTACGCAATTTCCGAGCGTCGTATCTCTCGCAGGCCTATAATATAATACTCACGCGCTCGTTGACCTTAGAGCGCGAGATCAATGCGATTGAAAGATTGACGCACTTTTACCCGTTGATTTTTTTTTCTGCTGCTGCTATACATTGCGTTATACATAAATGTTAGGACTTTTACGGGCTGTCTCGGTGGCTGCTGCAAGTAAAAGTTCCTCAAAAGACACATTGTATGTAGCCACATGTGTGTGTGTAGGTACGACCGTCACCGCCGCCGAGTACTTATATCAGTGACATTAATCACCGTCGCGCACACGGCAGCCGCAGCCACAGCCGCAGTTTGCTCAAAAGTATGTGTGTGTGTGTCGTATGTATGCAGGGAGTGTTCCGTTATTTTTTTTCTCTCTCTCTCTGGTTTTTTTTTCGTCGTCGTTGTCGTCGAAATCTCGTCTATATTACTATATGTTTCTGCCCGTTCCCTTTTCTGCATTCGTATATCGTACAGGGCCCACGATGAAAAATTTTCCAGCCGCGTATATATTTCTCTCGGGGCGTTCGAATGCGGTTCCCGCGATTCGCTCGAGTCGTCCTATATATTTCGCGCTGCGAAGAGAGAAAATCGGGCTGCCGCCGCGTTGTGTTGTTTCGCGTATAAGCGGGCCGGCGGTATCTCTGCTGCAGAAGTTGCGTAAGACACACGTCTCTCTCTCGCCTCACTTACTTTTTTTTTGCCTTCCAGATTATGAGTCGTAAGCACGCGTTGGTGTGTGTGTACTGCAGTACACGCCTTCCGTGACTTTCATTTTCGGTATATCTACGCGCCGATATATATATACTTAATTGTGCACCGCAGCTTGTGCGCGCGACTCCGAGTTAATGACCCTTTACCTTTGACTCTCGGCGCGAACCGCGGCGGTATTATTAAGTACGGTCGACGCTCCGATATTATCCTTTCTTATAGATATGTAGGTCGAGCTCGAGCGAACTCCGAGATTTTTCCAAGTATATAGCTCGAGCCTCTAATCAGCCACGTCTCGTTTTGTTATATACCGACTCCATGACGAGCTGGCGCGCGCGCATTCTGTGTTATTCAATGGATAGGGAAATTATGACGTACTATTAAGGCTCGCTCGAGCTATGGAAATTCCGCCGGCGTCCCGCATGACAACGACGACTGCAGCCTTTTCTGCATGGGCAAGACAATTGCCTCGTTATAATGTGTATACACACGGAGTTTTATCTATGTATATAATACTTTGTTAGTTAGAGCAGCGAGTCGATTTTACGGTACGATGATGGAAATTGGCCGATCGTTTAACCGATGATGCGCGGCTGTATGGTCGGACGGAGGAGGTAACGAGTTTGTGTGCGCGGTGCAGTTCCTCCGTCCTTTGAAAAAAGAAAAACGCCGATACTCTGTCTCGATCGCGGTGCAGATTCCTCCTCCTTCTTCTCCCCGATCCTATATATATTATATCGGCATGACATGCTCGGAAGACGAGGCCGCTGCTCCGCGTGCATCTATCTCAGTCTCTCTCTCATTGAGCTCCATCGAGCAGCTATTTCCGCTATTTGTTCAGCGCTATACGGCAGCCCCCTCGGCGTATTCTCTCCGCGCGCGCTAAAATTTGTCGGGCGCTCACGAGCGCGAAAAGGAAAGGTAGTAGTAGGAGCTGAGCTGCATCGCAATATACATTAGCAGCGAGGCTCTCCGCTCGTTGCTGCTGATGCTGCTGGCGTCGAGCGTGTGGGAGGATCGACGCGAGTCGCGCGCGGGCAGCGCAACTCCTTTTGCCGGCAATAACAGAGCGCGGCTGAGTCAGTCTCGCGCGTACTAGCCCGAAAGACGGGACACGGACGAGTACTATAAGGCTCTCCCGCGAAGTACCCGAGAGCCTCGACATGTGACGAACGAGTTGTAGTAATTAGCCATTGATTCTCTGCGACTCCGAGTGTCGGTGTACAGTGTGTTTTTTCGACTTTTTTTAAAAATTGTATGTTGTTTTTGCTGCTGTGTTGAGTTCTCGTTGAGTTCCTTCTATATGAAGTCCGCGAGTGTCACCACCTCAACCGGGAGATGAGACGACTCGGCCGAGGAGGAGGCAGCGGCGAGATGCCTCCGATCGTTATCGTCATCGGCACGCTCGTTCTGGCGCTGAACTTCGCCCAGGTGAGAGCCAAAGCTGCGCACGAGTCACCGCACCGCCAGTATATATTGGCGATTTTTTGTTTTGTTTTGGCTTTTCTTGTCTCGCTCGCGAAACGAGCCGTGCAGGATCATTGCGCTTATTAACGATCTCGCGGCTGCGATCGGCTCGCTATTAAACACCGGTGCTCGCGCGTGAAAGTATATACGCGGTAGTTATGGTGTATCAAAAGTGTCCCCATGTGCTCGACGATACCCGCGACTAATGAAGCGCGCGCCTCTAATTCAATGGATATTAAATGTGTGTATAAGCTTTGCAGTGCGCAGCTCGTTCAAATGTCAGCGCTGGACACTACTTATGTACTCTCTATGCGGCTTTCGACTTACGCAATGTTTACTCGCGCGACGATAATTATACCTCCTTTCGAATTCGCGCGCGTGCGAAATTTAATTTCCGCGCCGCGCCACCCGACGAAGAGTTTCGAGTCAAAAACGTTCCGAGCTTTTATATTATTATGTACTTCGATCGAGTGCAGCAGCTATAATGTATAAGGTATATAAGTGCAGCCACGCGCGCAGGCATCGATTCATTCGTCGAGCATCGGCGCGCCTGCAGTGTTTACGTTTTTCTCGTACGAGAAGCGATCGAGACAGGCGAGAGATTATATCCGCCCCCGACTATATATAAACGTGGGCTTTTATAAACGGATGATCGTCGTGATCGCTGTGTGTGTAGGTATATATACAGGTAGTAGTACTCGCCGAGAAGCGCATGACGTTTTTTTAGCTCGTCCGCCGGAGAGAGAGAGATTACTCCATCAAACGCGCGGAATGAAATATCTTCTTCTCTGCTGCAGCTGCTCTTCATGGCCTGTCAACCCTGCGAGAGCCTCGAAATGACGGCGGCCTCTATCTTAAGTACGGAAAAAAAGAGTATAACCAAGAGCACGAGGCAATTTCTAACTCACGGCGATTTTTCGGTGTATTAACAGAACACGACGGATTTGCGAATTTCAGTGTCGTGTGGATCGTCGTGGGAAATTCTCGCGACGACGCGTCATGCGCCTCACTCACTCACTCACTCTCTCTATATACCTATATATATTAAAGAGTGTCAGAGCTGCGCGTTAAATGACGTATATAGTACGCCAAGTTATTATTAAGAATCTAGCCCAAGAGCAGCAGCTGTTGCGCCTCGTATAAGCATATAATTGTTGCTATCCGTTTTTTGCGCAACGATCGCGCGACGACGCTGTGTTTTTTTGGTCACGAAGCGCGTTTATAAGATGTTTATATGCATGTAAAAAAGTTAAGCCAAGCTCTCCCTTTTTCTTATAATATTATCGCCTTCTTCTTCGTTTTTTTTTTCATTATACAAGCGCGCATGTGAACTTTTATTATTACTTTTAATTGTTCGAGATTTGTGTGTGTGTATAAACAAGCGGCATTATATGTAGATATACTTAGGCTGCTGCCGCTGTGGGTATTGTTACGCGCGCGCCGCAGCAGCAACTCAGCTCGCACACTATAAAGCTGCTTCGTGCGAGGGGGGGTCTATATTATCGTCTTGTCTCATCGAAAAATGAAAGGCAGCAGTAGCAGCAATACCGGGAGCCAAAAGTCAAAAGTTAGACTGCGGAGGAAAAAAAAGGACAATAGCCGAGCTGACTTTATACTATACCGTACTATATGTGTTGTACTACGTGTACGAACGCGCATAATGACGAAATGACACGAGCGCAATTACAGCAATGAACATATGTAAAAAAAATTCACATTTTGAGATTTACTCTTTATTTTTTTTTATTACTCGCATGAAAAATCTTGAAAATTAAATTACATCAGACAAAAGATACAAAGCTCAGTTATCGCTATCACTGTCGTTTTCTTTATTAATGAGGATCGAGATCACGGGCGGTGTTTTCACCCGCAGTCGCCGAGAAAATATTACACATTTCCCCGTCCATCAGCTAATTGTAGATGATCGCATTGCAGCAGAGAATCGGCAGCCGTTGACTCGTCAGCTCCAAGAAGGGATCCAGCGCCTAGCGTCGAAAAAATCATCTCGACATTATCTCGGCCCAATTCATGCTCTGACAGGGTCGACGATGGCCACTATGCCAGACGCTTGTCTCAATTCAGTTAGTTCATGACAGTTATTTGTTGGAAATGTCTAATCAGAGCGTCGCTCCGGGCCGGTTTGTATCCTATCTTCTCGAGACGCTCGACGACCATCGGAGCTATAGAAATTCGATCCGATTCGTAATAACAATCGAACGCGTTACTTATCTGCCTGAATCGAACGGCGAAGCCGACCTCGTCGGGGAAACCGAAGGCGGAAAACTCAGCGCCTCGAGCCAGGAGCAGGTCTATCGCCCCGCGTAAAAATTTTTATGTCATTTTGAAGTTTTCTAAAACTTGACAAAACCTATGTTCCGAGGAAGTTTTCACAAGCTTGTCACTGAGACACAGTCAAAGGGTCGAACAAAATTTTTCCAAGTTCTCTAGACGTTGGGAAAACTTGTCAAAAAAATTCCGAAAACTTAAAAAAACTTGCAAAAATGTGGCCCAAAAGTTTTTGCAAAGTTAACATAACTTTGCAAAACTTTAGCCACATTTTCTCAAATTTGTTCAAAATTTTCGGGAAATAGAAAAAAATTTATTTTCCGGACTCGCGCAAACACTAATATTAAAATTAATCCACGCACCCATTATTTCGTTAAAAAGCCTATTTTAGCTTTGAATGCACGCCCGAGGAATGTAAATCGCGCACGGTTATATCGACACATACACGAATTGCACACCAATTTAGTCGCGAACAGTCACACACGATTTTCGGAGTCGCTGTCACCGACATTCACACACACTACTGAATCCCACAAAAAATTTAATGACTTTTAATAAAAAAAAATCTATCCACGCCGAACAGCATCTTCGACAAATCCGTGTTCATCTAGTTAACAGGAGGTTAGTTTACTAATATCAACAAAACAATGCGTGTACATGTCAAAACAAAAAAACAAAGCCAACGAACTAACCTCGTTTAAATTAGAGACACACGGATTTGTCGAAGATGCTGTTCGGCGTGGATAGATTTTTTTTTATTAAAAGTCATTAAATTTTTTGTGGGACTCAGTAGTGTGTGTGAATGTCGGTGACAGCGACTCCGAAAATCGTGTGTGACTGTTCGCGACTAAATTGGTGTGCAATTCGTGTATGTGTCGATATAACCGTGCGCGATTTACATTCCTCGGGCGTGCATTCAAAGCTAAAATAGGCTTTTTAACGAAATAATGGGTGCGTGGATTAATTTTAATATTAGTGTTTGCGCGAGTCCGGAAAATAAATTTTTTTCTATTTCCCGAAAATTTTGAACAAATTTGAGAAAATGTGGCTAAAGTTTTGCAAAGTTATGTTAACTTTGCAAAAACTTTTGGGCCACATTTTTGCAAGTTTTTTTAAGTTTTCGGAATTTTTTTGACAAGTTTTCCCAACGTCTAGAGAACTTGGAAAAATTTTGTTCGACCCTTTGACTGTGTCTCAGTGACAAGCTTGTGAAAACTTCCTCGGAACATAGGTTTTGTCAAGTTTTAGAAAACTTCAAAATGACATAAAAATTTTTACGCGGGGCGTCTGGCGAGATTCGGACCGCCGCCTTGTCGAAGCAGCAACGCAGCGACTTTTTTCCAGCCGAGCATCCAAGCGCGATGTAGCGGCGTGTGACCGCACATGTTCGGGGAGTCGATCTGTACCAGCTGACGTTTTTCTTCGTTCATCTCGAAGATTACCTTCGCTAATTCGTAAGCTTCTTTCTCTCTTTCGCAAATTATATGCAAAGGCGCATCTCCGTCCGCGTTGGCCAAATTTGGATCAGCACCTCCCCTCAGCAGCGATATTAACAAGTTTCTGTGGCCCTGAGACAGCCAAATGCAACGGAACTTCTCCTTCGTTGTTCCGCGCGTCGACTCGCACCGTCCGACGATGGATGTCGTCGCACAGCCTGAGAAATACCTCCACCAGATCTTGGTCGTTCTCGTCTCTGTTGCAAGCGACGCGCGGAGTCGTCAATCCCTCCGGATTGCAGGCACTCGAACAGGGCCTCTTCTCGGGAGGAACTTGACCATCCTCTTTCTGTTGTGGTGCAGAGCCCAGCGGTGTCCTGCCTCTCTTGCTTAGTAAGTTTTTATTGGCATCATGTTTGGTATACATTGCCATAGCGCTGCTGGCATGAAAGGCGCTGTCGGAACGAATTACAAATTAGTTTGAAATATATATATATATATATGGGTAAGGCTCAGAATTTTTTAAATAAACCTGCGCTCGTATGTCACCGATCTTGACGCGCTTTTGGTATGTTATAGTACATGGTAAAAAAGACCCAAAACCAAAATTTTAGACCCCCTCCCCCCTCCTACCCCCCACTTCCGGTATAAACGTCCATTTTCTATCTATATTTTTTTTGAAGGCCTGAAGCAATTAAAAAATCTGAAAAAATTCACAAAAATACTTTTCAACAATCCAAACAACCTTGAATTTTTTCAGATTTTTTGAGTGCTTCAGGCCTTCAGAAAAAATTATTGAAAATTTTGAAAATTCATATACGGCGCTACGATGCAATACAAAGCCCGATCTTTTTTTCCACTTATTTTTGACATCAAAATACATAACCTCAAATTTTTTCAGATTTTTTCAGACAGAGCGCTGGCGGTTTTTAGCCGAAAAACGCCCTTTTTTTACGAAAATAATTTTTTTAGGGCGATATGAAGCTTTAAAAAATCTGGAAAAATTTTTTTCTTGTTTTTCAGGTCAAAATACATAACCTTGAATTTTTTCAAATTTTTTAATTGAAGGCGATAGCATCTATGGCTAAAAAACGCTATTTTTATGAAAAACGGTTCCTGGAACCCAGAGGTTCCGGTAAAAAAATTTGAAAAAATTTTTTTCGAATTCCTTGTCAAATTTTAATAAATTTTGACCGTCGCAAAATTTCGATTGGAGCTTCCTAGCTCATTCTAGAGCATAAC